TTCACTTGATGACCTTGACTACTGATTGATTAGCGACGCCGTGTAAGTAATCTGTAAGCATGCAATCTGCCAATGAAGTTTAATATGACCATCTTTAATGTAGTGATTTATGTACATTCAGAGTTTATTTTGTGTAAATCGTTTTGTTGTTTTCTGGTCTTCTTGTTTAGAGAGTTCTATGAATTGCTTTAAGGCAGGCATGTCAAAGATAATTAAAAATTTGAAAACACAGCCTGGCTGTTATTCATTCAAATGTTATCTGAACAGGCTGAATAAGTTCTTCATTGTTTAATGAAAGAAAATTTTAGATATTTGTTTGCTGTTTGCCATTTCACAGGACTAAATAATCAAGTCTAATGTCAAACTATTAAAATTTTTGTCGTAAACAAAATTTAAAATGAAGTTGAAATTATTGATATCTAATCTATAAATAGCTTGACATTTAAAGTGACAATATAATTTAGTCAAATGTCAACCAACTTGGTAAAAGACTAAATAATCAAGACATTATTATAAACAATATTTTAAATTAAAGGGACAGGTTTGCCATCTGTTTCACCAATTGTGGTCTCAGAAACGGGGATTTTTTAGCTAAGCTAGTCAGTAATATTGTTCACAGTTAACCGTTGAAATTTGAGCCATCAAATCCGTGTGTGTTCAGAATTATTTGCGTTTGAAAGTTAAAATGATGCCTGCCATATATAGAAAAGACGTACGGGTACATAGATATAGACAGTGAAATTTCTAGTTTGAGGTATTTTTGAAGGAATTAGGCGATTTTCGTAGATTTCTAGTACTTCTGAAGACTATTTACATAAATTCATCAAGAATTGAAAATGGTTAATCTTTCCCTTTAAAACTATAATATTTAACTGCCTGGTCAAGCAGGACTATGTCTATTTTAAGCAACAATATTTTTGTCAGTAAAAATCTATTTTCCAGTACATGATGGGAGAAATCTAACACGAGCTTCTTGATTTAGTTCTAACATATTGATTTTTTACGTTATAAATATATTGTCAATTGTTGTCCAGGCTGTAAATACTCCACGTCTTATTGTGTTACTGGCTTTACCAAGTGTCATCTTGTTTTATCATGACATACATAGTAATTCTTCTTTAAATTCAAAGTAAGTGTCATTTTTCAGCCAAGCATCAGATGTAGATTAAGTCTGTGAAAGAAAGGTCAAAATTGGAATACTGGTCAAGGTTGTCTTGCCTTCTTTTTACATGCTATGCTGGAATTTATAGTTATAAGTTGTGATTTGGGACTTAAAAGACTAAGTAAGTGTCATTTTTCAGCCAAACATAAGATGTGAAATAAATCTATGAAGAGGTTGTGTAGTTTTCTTTTGGAAGTTGTGATTTTGGAAGTTGTGATTTTGGAAGTTCAAAGTAGGTGTCATTAATCAGCCAAGCATCAGATGGGAATTTAATTTTTTAAGAGCAAATTTGGAATGGTTATTTTATTTTTTAAGCCTAAAGATTTAAGTCTTGAAGTTCTGGTCAAAATTCAGTTGGCTTCTTTTATATACTTTATTCCAATTTATACTTCCAAAGAAAGTGCTGTTTTATATGAATTTCAGAGTTCAATATTTCTGGAACTTTTTCTGGATAAGTCTTGGAGTAATGGTCATATTAAGGTTGGATTCCATTCATATGCTTCTTTGGAATCATGATTTAATTAGTGGAATTGGTAAATGTTTATCCTGGAATCAGCTGGCAGAACTTAAGTTGTTTTTTTCTTCAAATGGATGTTTTTGAATTTTCATTTTTTTCGCAGAATGGTTGCTTTTGAAATGTTAAAAAATAATGGCTCTTAGCACAGCTGAGCTCTTGAGTTTCAAACAATGGCAATTGGATGACAACTTGACATTTAAAGGGAATTTGTTCTCTAATTTTCAGTTCTTTTAACTTAATTGCATCCCTTTAAATTTTTTCACACAAATAAGCTTTTGATCGTGAAATAAAAATCTGTACAAGCTAGAAAATTCCGTCAATCAAAAATCCAAAATCAAGTCCAAAAAATGACAAAATTGGGAGTAAAAGTTGTAGAATAGTGGACTATACAAAAAAATTCTATTTTAATTGTATTCAGTTCTTTCTTAATCATTTCATTGGAAGAATCGGCATTATTGACATTTCTTTGATGTCATATTAAAATCGACATCTTTTCATGTCAATGTTCTTTAAAATCGACATTTTTTAAGTCAAACAAAAAAATATTGATTGAAAAATCAGCTTATTAATGATGTTTATTTTTTCTTTCTATAATTAGTTTTGTTAAAGAAATTTTATCCATATTAATAGCTTTATTTTATTCTTTACTGAATATTTTCATATGAAAATCAAATCCACTATTTTACTCTAATGATTTATTACAATATAAAACCAATATTTTTGACTTTGAGAGCTTAAAGGCGTAGTCTGCAACTAGGTTGGTTAATTCAGTATCTATTTTAGATTGTCCGTATGTTAAAGGCTTATTTACGGATGGATTGCATTGAAATCTTTTCAAGAATTGATGGTTTTAAACTGGCACGATCTGAAAAAAGGGATAGCATACTTTAAATTCCAGAAAAGGAAATATATCATGCAATAATTATTTAAGGATGGATTACATTGAACTTTTTTGAAGAGTTAATCATTTAAAGGAATTTCTGGCACAATCAGAAACAAAAAGGAAGCATCCTTGAAATTCCAGAGAAGTGAGAAGATTTGAGTCATTATTATAAAAGTTAAACAGTTATTATGTATCAGAATAAACAATGTTAATAAATGACTGTTCAGTTGATTGTATGGTGTTCTGATTCACAGGTATGTTGATCTTATATTAAAGAGTTTTAAACATTGATTTTACTGTGAGAATACAAAAGAAAAGAAGGCTCCAGGAGGCTCATTATCATAATCTGAATATACTTGAGATTATCAAAAGGAGGAGAAGGATATCCAAGGACATTTGAGACCATTACAAAATGATATCTGAGGGACATTCAAGGATATCAAAGGAAATTTGAGAGGACATCCAAGGATATCAAAAGGAAATTTGAGAGGACATCCAGGAATATCAAAAGGAAATTTGAGAGGACATCCAAGGATCATGGTTATTCCGGGGATATTCCAAGGAATTTTGAGTCTATGGGATATTTAAGGATGCTAATTTAGATAATAGAATAGATGAAAATTGTGAACATTATAACAGTTTAAAGGAAAACAGATCATGGTTAAGAGGATTAGCTGTGAAGTAACAGTAGGGGATGTAGCTGTATTTAGGGTTTAAAACTCTTCTTTTTTTTTCTTTAATTGTGATAATTAATTTCCATTGTAATATCAGATTTTTATGATGTCATTACTCCCTTACTGACGTGTAATGATGTCATAACTACCTAGTTGACGTGTAATGATGTCATGACTACCTAGTTGACATGTAATGATGTCATAAATCCCACATTGACGTGTAATGATGTCATGAATCCTATGTTGACATGTAAATGATGTCATAACTTCCTAGTTGACATGTTATGATGTCATAACTTCCTTGTTGACATGTAATAATGTCATTCAAGGTTACAGAAACCAGGAAGCGAATTATTTCCCTTGTGGATGCTAAAAAAATACAGATTTTTTTTCTTTCCTATTGATAATAAGAACACTTCAACAAACCATTTAGACGATATATATTTTTATAGTAAAATTATTATACTAATCCTCCTAGAGAGTCCACACAACTAAAAACGTTTGTTTGATATTTTTTTTCTCATTTGAACTGTTCCATCTATTTTTCAGATTACTAATTCTGTTGGATAATTTGTGATTTGGAATCCAAGCCTGTATTAACTGAAGATTTTCATGCATGAAATTGCTCAATCCAGAGGTGGAATTAATGAATGACAACAAACGAAACTAAAAAAGTAATTTTTCCCTTTTTCTATTCTTTCTGATATAATTAACATACACTAGTCTAAAGCCTTTAAATATTGTGTTTCTTATTTTTTCTGTGTACTATTTCACTCATTCTTGAGCATGATTTATTCTATTATTTCTGGGTTGTGTTATTCATTCTAGAGCAGAATGTATTAATGTAACTTAACAAGTAATTTTTGTTCTTTTTCTAAGCCTAATGATAACTTTTAATTAGATTTTATTTGAACTAAATACTCAATCAATAAGTGAGTTTAGTTTTAATCCCCTGGGAAGCTCGCTTGTTGATCGAAAGTTGATGGTTCAATAATGACTTATAGTTAGATTGACAATTAATTACTGTTGATTATCTGTTAATTACTTGGTATTCGTTAGTGTAAAATACCCACAAATTAATGTCTGGAGTCATTTTATCACTTCATATATCCATTACCAGTGTTATCAGTGGAAATACTGTTGGTCTATTGGTATAATTGGTGAAAGCAGACACCTTGCTGACTCTCGGAAGCACTGGCACAGGCCTCAGAACTTTTCTTTGTATAGACAATATTTATTTATATAATAGGATTGAGGAACAGGCTTTGGCCTATAGTACCTTCTCTTTAAGTTACAATTAAGTTATATAAAAAGTAGTAAAGGTAGCACCTAAGCAATATGTTCGATAGATGCATTAGCAATATGAGTTATTGATGCATAAGCAATATGTGTCATTGATACATCACCAATGTGTCATAGATGCATAACCAGTATGTGTCATTGATGCATAAGCAATACATGTCATAACTGCATAACTAGTATGTGTTCTTGATGAATAAGCAATGTATGTCATACATGCATAACCAATATGTGTCATTTATGCTTAACCAATATGTGTCATAGATGCATAACCAATATGTGTCATTCAGGCATAACCAATCTCTTATAGTGTCATTCAGGCATAACCAATCTCTTATAGATATTTACATAGCAAATCAAGAGAAGCTAATCCTCTCCTAAAGTAAGCTATTAACAGAAATATGAGATAATCCTCTTTCTGATGTAATTTGTAATAATAATCAAGGATTTAGTGAAGTGCCCCAAATGATTGAATCGTTCAGGGCCCCAAGGAATTCTGGTCAGGTGTGGACTTGTTTTATGGTCTTCTCTGCTTTGTTGTCTTTTAATTTGGATAAGTTTTGTGATTTGGGAGGTTGTCACTTTTATAAGCAGGTAGGGTTCAGATTTTTTTTGCATTCAAATGAAAACCTAATTTTGAAAGAAGTCTCCCTTTTTGACCTTTTGACATACTTCCTAGATTTAAATAAATCAAAGGTGATATGATCTATCTTCAAAGGGAATATAGATTTAAAAAATGACCCTAGTTATTTGACTTGTTGACACATTTAGTGGTTATAATTTAATTAAAATATAGGTGATATCGTCTATTATCAAAGGGGATATAGATGTAAAAAAAGACCCTATTTTTTTTACCTATTGACACACCTAGTAGACATAATTATAGTAATTAAGTTATATTGAGTAATGTAGTAATTTGATAGTGAAGTAATAAATTATCTTAAAGCATGTATTGACTTGATCAGCCATTATCTATAGTCATTTTCTCATTGACTGTACTGTATGTATGGGATTTTGATTCTTGTGGAAATTGGGATTTACACAGAGAGGTTATTATCTTTGAACTCAATTTCATTTTATAAGGAGAAGAACAGTAGGATATAAAACTCCATTTCATTTTATAAGGAGAAGAACAGTAGGATATAAAACTCTATTTCATTTTATAAGGAGAAGAACAGTAGGATATAAAACTCCATTTCATTTGAATCAAATGTAGATATTTTTTGTGAAGAGTGTGTTTTTATTTTATGTCTTAGTGTGTGTTTTTATTTTGTTATGAGGCGTTTATTTTATGTCTTAGTGTGTGTTTTTATTTTGTTAGGAGGTGTTAATGTGTGTGTTTATGTGGTTATCTAAGATAAACTTGTTGATAGCTAGTAGAAAACTTGTGAATTGATAGACAATGTTTCTGTTTATACAAGAAAAACACACCATCTATTCATATATCTTCATTCTTCAAATTAGTTGCTAATTTTAGATTTCACCAAATCAATGCCAAATCATAATGATTTAGTAAGGGTGTTTGAGTCAGACTAACCTAACCCTTGATAATGAAACTCATATGTCTGCTATTACTTTCAATTGGGTGGGAATTAAGTTTTAATCAATTAGTTTCATTTAAAATATAAAAGAGTTTCTTAAAGGGAGATAGTCATTCACTTTTTTAATTTACCAGTTGATACAGCTCAATTTTCAGCTAAGCATATCACTTTTAAAATGAAAATCTGGTTAGTGTACAATTAAATAATAATGCACTAGCATTGTACTTGTATGAAAATGTACCACCAATGTGCATTGCCTAGAAATTTAAAGCATATCACTTCAGAATGAAAATATAGTGAATATGCAATTAAATAAAAATGTACTACCAATATGCATTGCCTTGACATTTAAACCATATCACTTCAGAATAAAAATATAGTGAATATGCAATTAAATAAAAATGTACTACCAATATGCTTTGCCTAGACATTTCCGTACTTAAAGACTAAAAATAAAAACGATCAATAATTTGAAAGCTAAAGTTATTTTCACTTAGATGTAGGATATGACTATCGAGCGATCTAAAAATAAAGTGAATAAAATGGATTGATGGTGTAATTCACTTGTTTTATGGTTGTATTTACTTGTTTACCTTTTAGTTTTTAATTAAATCAAATCAATTTTCAACTTCAAATTAACTGAGTGTAGTGTTAGGTAGTGTTAAAGGGACTGAGAGTGTGAAAGATAGATTGCGTTGGGTAGTGTTAAAGGGACTGAGAGTGTGAAAGATAGATTGCGTTGGGTAGTGTTAAAGGGACTGAGAGTGTGAGAGATAGATTGCGTTGGGTAGTGTTAAAGTGAATGAACCACAAGAATATAATCTCATTAAAATACGGCTTTAGATATTTTTGTGGGTTACGTAACATTCTGTCAATGGTTGTTTCAACAAGGCATCCCGTTGAGAGTTAATTCTATATTTTTGTTTCAGGAAGCATCATCAGATGAGGTGATGACGGAGGTTGAATTTAACTCCAGTCTTGAAGACTTCGCCAACACAGGTCGTTCGGGCCGACGTAACGCCATGCCAGACGTTCTCGATCCAGTCAAAACAGCCGTGGGGACAGGCAATCTTCCTTTTGACCTAGAAAAATTACATTGCTCAGGTTAGTGTGAATTGTCTCCTCTTTCAAAAATTGGTTGCCATAGTAACCAGTGCCTTGTGAAGAGGATAATGCTACTCTCAACTGCATTTGGCATTTTTTACTCGGAGTTCTGGCTTATGCTTTTTCTTGAGTTTATATCTCTTTGACTATCAGAGCATGCTTGCTGTGTTAGAAACACCTGCTACCCATCTGCAATTGGGTTTATCAATTCAGTGCGTCATTTAGACAGTTCACAAAACTATCTGAAAATTTGGCATCAAATCAGAAATTGACACGCTTCATGGAAGCAGACAAAAAGTATTTCTATAACTGAAATGAAAATCGTTAAAATTTGAGTTTAGAAACAGCAGACATTAATTGCATCAAAAACTGCAGAATAGTCGATAAATTTTATTAAAATAACAACAAATCAATTTCTCACTAAACATTTAGCAGAAGTGAAGAAATCGATTGCTATAGAGTTGATATTGATTATCTATAATTGTCTTATCAAATGATGAAGTAATCGAAGAGAATTTAGTCCAGTGAATATATATTGAAATCATCTGGGATTTATTAGAAATAACTAGGATTAACAAGTTGCTGAGTGGTTCAAGTGTTTCAGGAAGGGTTAGCATGCCCTACAACTTCTTTGTAACCAAATGATGAAATAATAAACTTAGTTGAGTGTATATTGAAATTGGCTTGAATTCGGATGTAATAAACCAGTTGCTGAAGGCAAACAAAGTAACAAAGCAACAAAATTAAAATGTTTAGTTGTCTCTTTTCAGATCCTGAAGAAGGCAAGTCTAATACAGCCTGTGCTGCTCCAAACTCTTCATCCAGTGAAAACACAAATAACCCTTCAGGCTCCTAGCAACAGCTCAATCCACCTTGGCAACCATCCAATAATCTGAAATGAACTAGTCAACTATGGAAGGGAGGTAACTCCATAATATTTTTACATGGGAACATATCATATTTATACGTTAAAGTGAATTCTCGAATTCTTTTGCAAATTTTACAATGTCTGCATTCTAATGTACAACATAATTTCCGTAGGGGTTAAAAAACTTCCATGATGACAATTTTGAAAACGCTGATACGGGCCAAAGTCATGATAGCTTTCTAGAGAGCTGCGCTTGCTTAACTGTATACTGGTACTTGTTAATGAAAATTCTGTTAAGACTTGCACTCAAGACAGAAGAGTGTTGTACTTGCTTTGAAGGAATTGAAACTTAAGAAAAAGGCGCTCACATTTTGGATATGTTCACATCATAACTGGGTATTACTGATCTTAAAGGATTAACAGACTGATGGTTTTGGGTCTCTTCTTGCTCAAAATGGATCTTGCTGTGGATGGAAGGTGTGTAAAAATATTCAAAGCCTGTGAATGTAGAACCGAAAGGTTTCTAAAACAGATGGAAAATATATCTTGCAAATATGTGTACATGTTCCAATTTCGTTGTTCGCTTGGATGTGTTGGAGGAAGGTGCTCCCAATTGCCTTAAGTGTAAAGCAAGGTCTAATTAGATCCTTTTATGGCAGACTGGAGAAATGACTTTTAAGTCTGCTGTAATAGTATTAAATTAAACTGTAGTAGGATCGCTGAAGGCTTGACTGGAGGATGGCTTTAATAAAAGTGCAGGAGGCATCCAAATGCTGTGCTTGCTTAACTAAATCGAAAAATCCAAGTGCTGCACTTGCTTTGGAGGGTGGCACTTGCTTTGAAGGATAGTAATGAACTGTCAATCATGAGGACAATGTGTGAATCTCAAATGACTGAACTGAACTATGTAAATAACATAACTTTACCCCAAACTTCTGCTCATATCATATATATATATTTAATGGAGCCATTTTTTATGATCAATCCCCTGAAATCCTTTTTTATTCTTCAGTTTTTTTTTTTTTTTTTTTTTGGTCGTTGTGTCTGGAGTTACTTGTCAGCGTTTTTGGAATATTTGTGCTCAATATTGGAAACCCTGTTCGAATCTCCCAAGGTTCCACAACTTTTTTTTAACCTGAAGGATTGAATCTTAAATTTCACCTCCTGGAAACAAAGATGGCGGAATTTAAATTCGTGTCGCCTAAAATAAGTATTTGGAATAATAATGTTAATCTGGAAGTTGTCAAGCATAATAAATTTTTGGATTATGCGCGTATGTGTTGAAGAAATAAATTGTCAGAATTTGTAAACTGATGGATTGTGGCTTTCTATGAAATAGCCGGAATGAATTTCAAGAAATTTTTCAAAATGGAAATGATATTTTTAAGTTCAAGCAGTAGCCATTCATTGTTGTTATTTTTTACCCAGATAAATTTAACAAATTTTGATCTGATCGTTGTCCAGAAACGCGTCTTTTGGAAAGCTGAAATGAATCTTGAATATGTATATAACTATTCCCAATTCTCCTGTAAAGATCTTGAAAACATCAAGGTTAATAATTTGTCATTTTATTTGCAATATTTTTTGTGTTTTTCGTTTAAAGAAAAAGTTTTTAAGTGGACATAATAAATTTTATAACAAATAAATTTTTTTTTGCCAAATACAAAAGGTCAAAAGGTAGCTTAGTGTTACCACAGGGATAACTGGCTTGTGGCAGTCAAGCGTTCTTAGCCACATTCCTTTTTGATCCGTCGATGTCGTTGGATTGTTCACCCACCAACAGGGAACTTGAGCTGGGTTTAGACTTAGTTTTACTCTACTGGTAGGGAACTCTTTACGAACGAGCAGGTAGGACTGACTAGTTTCAGAGGAAAGTTGGCCTCTGCCCTACTTACTTTTGTAACAACACTTGTGCCACGTCTTTTCATTCCCTTGTGAAGCTAAGCCAATAGCCGATACACCTGTTTATTTGACACACTTTCAATCTTGTTCTTTAACGTCATATGTATTGGAATTTCTAAGTTATTGATCCATTTTTAGTATTTTCAAATTTAATGGATATTTTCTGGCATCTGACTATCAAAAAGCGATATATCATTCTCAGATAAATGTCCAAAAAATTTGGAACTTTTACATCTGTTTACAATCTGATCAATAGATATGAATAAATATTTGAAAATTAAAGTGACCCAAAAGAGTTCTGCTGGATTTTGAGTGTATGTGTATCTGAGACACATGTACCCTCTATGTTCTAACTTCCTTCAGATCTCTATGGTTCTTTTGAGATGGCATCTGATTTAACTTTTCTGGAATGTCAGCAAGTACAAATGTTGGATGCGAAATCCCAATGATGCAAAGAGGATTTTAAAGTGTCCCTGATACATATACTAAGGATAGAAATTTGTTTGATTCCCTTTCAATAGCTTGCTGAATGATATCCTAAACAAAAACCTAAGATATCAATAGCAGCTTTTGTAATAGTGATTTCATAAAACACTTAGTTGTAGCGAAATTGCAATAACCACAGACATGTGACTGAAAATTGGAATGGTGCAAATAGATGCTTTTGGTGTAAAATCCCTTGAAGATACAATACAATGAGGGTTGTCAAACCAAACCAAGGTTGATGGCATACCCAGAAGTTAAAAAAATTTTCATCAACTTGTGCACTGAGCATTTCTTACAGTTCATAATATACATTCTTTATCAATGCACTAATGCACTTTTGTATGCACTTATGCAAAAAAAAATCAAACAAAAAAAAGTTTGCAAAAGTCAACTCTTTATGTACATAAATTATTGGTGATATGTCAGTTTTTTCATGAAGATATAGATTAGGTATAACTGTACCATCTTGGATTGATTAATGGTGATAAAACTCACATACCCATAAAGTTTTTCTCATTTGGTCTGACTTGTTTTCCGGAATAAAGGAAGAATTTGCAGGGAAGATGTTGGGCCTTGTTGTGGTCCTACTTGCTTTGTCATCAACCATTGTCTCTGGATATAAGGGTAATTATGATTTTTATAAAAACAAAACCTAAAAAAGATGTTGTTGTTACTCAGAGTTTCATGCTTTGCTATCTTCAGACAAACTGACCTATATATATAATATATATATATATTCAACTATAATTGTATTCTCAAATTTAACTATAAATTTAAACTCAAATCATAAATTGATACTCAAATTCAATTGTACTGGTCTACTCAATTATAAATTTGAACTCAATTATAAATTTGAACTCAATTATAAATTGATACTCAATATATATAATTTTCTTGTCTTTTGACACAGCACTCAAATTTAATTTTTATACTCAAGTTATAGAATGATTCTCAATTATGATTTTATACTTATATAATTTTTAACTCAAATTTGAATTCAAAGGTATTGTTCTTTTTTATTTTTTTTATTTCATACACTCAATTTTTTATACTGATAGTGCTGCATTCAGAACAAATTCAGAGCAAATTTAAAAAACCCCCTTTTGGTTTTTGTCCACAGGAGTTCCTTGCGGAGACTTCAAATGCTCAGATGATCCCAATGTGGTTTGCAATAATGTGACAGGTACTTGTGAATGTAAACAAGGCTTCACTGGAAATGGTCGAGTTATGTGTATTGAAGGTATGCCTAGTCTTGAATAAAAGAGGGATTTTCATTTCTCTTATATTAAAAGATACAAGTAGTATACAAGAAAGCTCATATTAAAGAAAAAATGTATAAATGTGGAAATATGCAGTAAAACCATTCTATATTTTGGTGTCTGTGAAATGCCAATTTATGTAAGGTTCATATTATTTTTGGTGACAGACATTTTCGCTAGATTTACTTGAGGGCACATTGAAAAAATTTCGATGAATGTAGGGCTAATGAGGTGGAGTCATGGTATATGCGATATTACCATTTTATATTGTGGTGTCTGCGTTATGCCAACTTTTACTTCAGGATAGGAGCAGTGTGTATTATATTCAGAATTATATGGTTTATAATAATGATAAACTCTTTATTTTACATGGGTCAGAATTTGGCCCAATACACAAGGACATGATCCTGTCTAACATTCAACCCGTGGGGACAATATAATGAATGAATGAGTAAAAAACATACACAATAACTCGTTGGACAATCTGTTTAACAAAATATTTGCTGAAAAATATTCTATAATATTTTTGCATTATTTTCAGACGAATTTATGATATGCCATATGATGGGTGATCCACATATTGTGGCTTTCAATAAAGAAAGGACTAGTATACTGATGCCATGCCAAAATATCTTGACGAAAGCTGATATTGTAAGTCGAGCACAACCATCAGCTAACTTCCTGTTTATAAGAATTACTGCTATCGTTGCTCCTGCATTCTTTGCACGATTCCCAGCTCAAGTATACATCACCGGGCTCTACATAGAATTGTATGTACGTAATGATCCAGAACAGCTGACCATGATCTGTAACGACAATGGCTGCTATGTAAGTATTGGAAAATAAGAAATGAGAAGTGGATCAATCATTTTCAATGGTCAGCCAATCCGAGTGGAGGCGCATTTGTGTACCCAGGGGTGGCATTTACATATAAGTGCATACTGCCACTAAAAAGATTTTTAAATCAAAATTACACAAGTATTTTGTTATTGACTTTTTTATATTTTGTAGGACACACAAAGTAATCAACAATTTGTAAATTACTTTGGTCCCTCGGGAAATCTGAATTTTACAGTGACCACCAACTCAAACAACCAACAGATCCTTAAAGTTCCATGTAAGTAGTCCAAACAGCTCTTAAAAATCTGTACAAACAAGACACTTCTGTTAATCAAAATCACGTCCAAAGTATGGCAATGTCGAGAGTAAAAGTCTTATATTAGTGGCCTCCTCAAAAGAGAAGTACCACCAGGTGTTTCAAAAAGAGAAAACATGGTCTGCTTCGAGCGCGACACCCGCCACTACTATCTAGGTCAACATCATGAGATACAACCAGATCAATTTATGCCTGAACAAACAAATCAGTCAAGATGCAAGAAACAGATTGGTTAAGTTTGTCCTGAAGTTCACTAGAACGAAGGATTGCCAAATATGATAAAAATGCAGACCTCCTTGATCTGACAAAATTCTTTTCTCAATAGTGTTCCGTGGAATTTTGACACTGAAGGAATGAAACTTGTTTTTTCAGTTTATGAGGTTGAAGTTCGATTCCGTGGTGAAGATGGATCTGTTGCTATAACATTTCCTCCAAGTGCCCAATTTGACGTGGAACCTGCTCTATGCAACATACATACTGATCCAATTGATGTGAATGAACAATTTGGCGCAGGATTGGGATATTCATCTTATGATAACTACATATTGTTCTTAAATCAGGCTAACGTTGCACTCCCTAACTTGGAGTAAGTTTGCAATTTACTTATGTCTGTGTCAATATGTAAGATTTGAGTGTCATTTAGAAGGAGAGAGCACCATTTACACGATGTGGCTAATGAGGGAAATTTTTCTAGGAGAGCATCATAGAGTTTCAATTTCAAAGGAGAGCCTCGGGGCTCAGTGAGTTAGACTCTTGCTCGTTAACCTGAAGGTCCAGGGTTCAATCCCGGTTTCCTCCTGTCAGTGATGCAGGTAAGACAATAAACCGACGTCCCGAAGTTAAAGATCCTTCGACAGTTGGAAATCGAAAAAGAGCAGGCTAATGCCGCTGTCCTGGCAAAATTTCCCTCATTGCACCCCGCATGGCGTTGCCCGTCTTCATTAGCCCACATGGTACAGAAAAGCAGGACGTTAAACTCCATTCATTTCATTTCATTTCAATTTCAAACTAGCATTTTCATTTCGTTATTGATCAATACCACATGGTTTGATCAAGGGATGACCAACTGGTAGGGCCTATCAGTGAAGATTGGTCAAGAGACTGGTAAAAACGTATCTCATTATTCAGTTGCCCATTCTGAAAACAAGTAAGGTTCAGTCAAGGGACCAACCGATAAAAACAATAAGTAGGTTGATTTTTGTGTGTTTCAGACCAGATCCAATTTGCCAAAAAATCAGAGTCGGCTGTCAACCAAATACACGAGAAGCCATTGCTGTAAACGCTTGTAGTGTCTTTTACACAGACAGAGCCTTCAGTGAGTGTTTCTACAACTACAGAAACAAGAACGACACACAAATAATGATGGATTATGAAGGATGCAGAGAAGAAGAATGTGATGGAATTACTACTCCATCTATTTGTACTGTGGTTGGGAATTCCGGTTGCCAACTGAGTCAGCCTTTCGCTACTGGTTCTTGTCCTTAATATCTACCACCTTGAGAAAGAAAAAAATGTGTAATCCATTTTGAAAATATTTATCAATAAAGCATATTTTGCATCAAGATTGCAAAAAAAAATTGTAGTTACATGACTCCAAACCAAGATATAATCCCTGAAAAATTGGTTTTATCTGTTCTAAACTTGATTTCAAATCTCATCGATTGGGATTAAAATGTGGTTGTTCCCCTCGCTCCTAATATGACATAAAAGTCCCAGAACAAAGTGTCCCATCATTGCAGATATGGCTCCCATGTTCCTTTAGCAACGGTGCGATATTATCCACATTGATAATATACTATGGCTAAGGAGATTTTATTACTAACAAGTTTTCATTTGCTTTCTGTATTTGTTAATATCCATGAAGGTGAGAATAGACAAGGTATGGAGACGGGATCAACCAGAGCCTGAACTGAAACTTATGTCCGTACGATTTCTCTTTGGGATTGCATAAGCACGACGTCCCGAATCGTGTTCAGAACTTTACCTCGTGAATTCAGTTCTTCCATTTTGTTCTGTAACGATATCGATAATCCCGCACCGTACAAATCACACCCGTTCCAAGAAATTACAGTTTACGTGTAAGAATTGCTGACAAAACCAGGTCGTAATGGTCTAGCCACTATAAATATCAATTTTTTGTAGTCTATCATAATATTTTTGGACAATTATAATTTTAGTCGTTTTGTTTAATCAGCCTCCGTTCTCTGATATATAAAAGATAATATCACAAAATAATAATAATTTATTTGGGGGAAGGGAGGTAATGCAATTGACCAAGGATGCTGAAAGTAGTAATAGAAAGAAAAAGGGTGAAACCCTCTGCGAAAGCAGTTTAAAATATTTAAAACGAAAAGGAATATTATGACGTTTTGATAGACATGTTATGACTTTGTTGACAGATGTTAGTTTTAATTGATATGTTTTGACTTATTTGGTTGACATGTTTTGAAGCATTTGAGAATATTTTGACGTCTATTGTAGCATTCGCTTGCTGTTTACTTTTACTCTTAAAAACACCTTGTCCTCGTTGTTCACTTTGGTGTGCCAATACCCACTTACATGTGCCGATTGTCAAGGCGGGGGAGGTATTTTTCATGTGGGATTTGTAATCAAATGAAAACACAACGGTAATAACATACCATATACAATAAATACATTTTTATACAGAGGATTTTAATTATCAAATGTTAATCTTCTATCCGCATCAATTCTTGTTTTCTTTTTCACAAGGAATCTTAAAAAAAAGTAAAATTTTTCCGAATTATACCCATTTATTTATGAGTTGTATTTCAATTCTTCCTTGCTATTGAATTATAAATAGTACTCATCCATCTGGTGTTGGTCCTGCACTATGTAACTGAACTCTGGAACGTCTGCAATTGACGTTTTGTAAACAGACAGAGCTGTTGAGCTGGGAACTTAAGCAGACACCAGAATTCAGAATCAGAATATTCCATTCATCGTCGCCGTTTGCAAAATTTAAAAAAACTTTTAAAAAAAAATAAAAAAAAAGCCTCGGTTAATTGCCCATCTGACTATTGGATTTTCAATGAATAAAGACAATATAAGCAACAATTACATACCTTATAAAGGTGAAAGTTTCTCCCAGCGAGGTTCTTTAGCCCATAACCTCTTGATTCAACAATGAACTCCTTGGTTACAAACAGTAGTTTTTATTTCTTAACCCCTGATTTCAGCTCACATCTAAGTTGAGATTTGAAACAATAGAGTGTAGAAATATGTAAAGGGTTTGTTCGATTGGTCGTTGTTTTCGTTTATACTATAACTATAGAAACTAACTATTAATAGGAGACAAATCGAACACATCTTATCTAGAAAATTCTGACTGACGAGAAATCATCTCCTAATCAAGACTTAAAACCAATGATTTTAGTTTGCGAGTTTAAATCTCTATTGTACTACTATGAGCACTATTCATTTCTTTATGCCTCAAACGATATGTTATTTGTTTAAAGGGCGAGGTGGGAATTGTTCCTTCTAGAGATATCGTTACAGTTTGTGAATAGCCGGTTCTTTAAAACCGGTTCAAGTAGGATTGATCAACCAAAAATAACGAAAAACTTTGGATTATATGATCGCAGGTAGTTGTACATTCAATTGATTGTAAAGAGGTTTTATAAACTTTGTGTATCAACAGTAATATCATTGATAAGTACGCACCTTGCTGTTGTACATTATAAACACTTTAGCGATAGTCACAAAACGCCAAGTTTCAGCGGAATTGCTAGAAGTTCACAAAATTTGATGAGCCAATTAAACTGACTATTGAAAGTAATGTTGAAGCGTTTGGTGCTGAATTTTTTCAATGAAAAGTTGCTTTCACATCAAGTGCATGTGGGTCGCCAGCATATCAACAAAAGAATATAGAGAAATAGACCCCTTTATTTCTAATGCGTAAGAGTCACCCACCTGTTAGATGATTAATAGACCTTCTTAGCTTATAGATTTCTAATAACAAAACCCATTTATTATGGATCAGATATTGACACTATTGATTCTGATGCTTGTACTGAGGATGTTCGTCATCATACAATAGGTCAGTACCAGCTGTAATTTAGAGGATGGGAAGGGAATGTATACCAGTTCTACCTTTAAATCTACTAGCCGTGGAAACAGACTTATAATAATGTTCTATCTTAAGGTGAATTGTAGTGTGCCCTCTTTCGACTGAACTATCCCACATGAAAGTTTAAGATGCAGTTCTTAATTTTTTTCTGTGTGCATCGGGACATTTCTTACTTCCAGCTACACCATTCCATTTTTCATCTTTGGTTCCTCTCCAATCATACGAGACTACATAAAACCCAACTCTTTGGACCTTTGTAAAATGAAGAACTATTTTTAGTGCGTGTTAGTGCAAGAAAGGCAACGAAAGGGCACCAAAGTTACAACCAAATTAACAAAACTGGTATGCAAAGTCATGTACCTGATCCAGAAGACCAGTAATTTATACAATTGTATCGGGAAAATTAGAATGTATAGACACCAAATATCGGTTTTTGATTCTAAAATCGATTGATAGAGTTTGATTATAGGACATATAAAACACCAAAGATCAGTTGTTCTTTAATACTGGGGTCATTATTTGTTTGTGTAACGAGGTGGAAAATTGGAACAAAAATGAACCGGATTTTTGTGTTTGTACTCTTAACTTGGACAGTTAATGAAGCTTTTGGATATGCAGGTATGAGCTTGTTTTGTTTGGATTTTTTTTTGTACTAAGGCTTTCGTTTCAGTTTAGCAAAATGTTTTTAGTCATGGTTGTATTGCAGTATCGGACGAAGCTGTCCAGCACTGCGAAAAGCTTAAGGTTCTTAGACCAGAATCTTTTGAGGCACGATGGCCACTGATTCTGTCGTGTCTTGATATGCTTCGTTTTACTCTTTCTGGCACTTTGATTGGTGCGTTATTTGTTGACGTGTATATTCAGATATCCATCTTGTATCATCTCTTTCAGGTATCCAGTGTGGTGATTTTGTATGTTCCAGCGATTCCAATGCTTTCTGCAACAGTACAACCAGCCTTTGCCAATGTAAAACTGGGTATTTTGGTAATCCTAAAATTATGTGCACAGAAAGTAAGACATTATTGAGTCTTGATATATAATATTCAAAGAATCTAACTCGGACAGGCTGATGTTGCTTAAAGTACATTGTGTTGCTCTTGCCGATACTGGGGATGTGCAGATCTTCGTGGATTTGCAACAGATGAATAGAGTTTTGTGGAGACTTGACTGTAAAATGAAAAATCGTTCGGACTATGAATTAACCGAGACCCTATGTACTGCTCATTGCACTCTCAGGTGGTATTCGTCTTATATAACCCAATCTGAAGGAGAAAAGTAGAACGCAAAACTCCATGTTTGTATTTTTCAGCTACAAACCATATCTGCCATCTGTATGGCGACCCCCATGTTACCACGTTCAACAGAGAGCGCTCAGCGATTCTCGTACCTTGCAAAAACATTCTGACTCATTTGGACATCACCAAGACTGGCATAGAGAACTTGTTCTTGAAAGTGACTGCAGTAGTTAGATCCACACCTTTTGCCAGGTTCGCCTCTCAAATGGTTACCACTGGTCTATTTGTGGAAATGATGATCAGAAACGAACCAAAAGGACTGATCATGTTTTGCAATGACAATGGCTGTTATGTAAGTATACTCTGACTCAGTCCGATGTACTCAGGGCCCCTCCTTGTTTTATCGAGGGCAATAACGTCTTCAAACTCCAAAGAAGCACGGTGAAGAGTCACCCTGTAATAGTACATATACAGACACTTTTGTCCGTGTTGAATTCTTGGAGGGTACTATAAAGGTAACCGTGATCAATCGTACCCTTTAGGGTGTATTTCAGCTTACAGCTGGATACCCATGGCTGCTGTTGCTTAGCTATCCATCTAACGTGTTCATCTGAATTTTTTTTAACAACTAGACGGGTATATTTTTAGGACACCGTTGAAAATATACAGTACCACAATTTCACTGGAAGCCCAACGTCCAGTTTAGAATTTACTGTTACCACTAACGCCAACAACCAACAAGTCATCTCTGTACCGTGTAAGTTGTAATCTTCCCTCTGGGTGTTTGTAGGCGTGGAAGGCTTTGGCTTTTGAGTACAGTCTGCTCCAGAATGTCATGTTGCTTCGATGGAAAGATTCGGCTCATCCTTCAGATGGAAATCGATCTGAGCTAATGGTCATTGTCAGAACATGCCATTGCTCTTAGCTCCAAGGGTCTGAAACTGTGAAGATCTGGAGTCAAAAACTCTTTGTTAAGAAGGTCTTTTCCATAAACTCATATTCCTGTGCGCTCCAATGCATAACAAACGTTCTTGGAGACTTGCTATATATCTTACAGTGTATGAATTAGAGATCCGGTTTAGAGGCGAAGATAACTCAGTAGCCATCAAAATACCATCCAGCTCTGTGGTGGATTTAGATACGGGATTGTGTAACAACTTCGTCAACCCAACTGATTTCAATGCCAAAGCTCAACAGCTCCTAGCGTACACCTCTCTAGACAACTACCTCCTTTCTATCAATGAAATCAATGTTCCCTTATCAGCCGAACAGTAAGTGTCATTCAATTTTGCTTGCTGTATTTATATAGCCTAGTGGCCTATTACCTGGTCATTTCAATTAAAGTCATTTCTACTGGTTAAAACCCTTCTTCATTAACCTATTAGGTGCAGAAAAGTAGGACGTAAAACTCCATTTCATTTACCGATGTAAACGTGTCTTGCATTCATTGTTAAGCTATCTTTATTTCAGAAACGATCCACTGTGTCATAGGTTACGGATGGGATGCGATCCCAAAGAGCGAGAATCCATTGCCATCAATGCGTGTAGTCTGATTTATACCGACCGACCATTCAGTACCTGCTTCTACTCCTACCGGGGTGGTAATGACTCTCTGATTCTCCAAGACTATATTGATTGCAGAAAAGATGTATGTGATAACACAGATCCTCAGGCATTGTGTGCGATGATTGGTCTTTCAGGATGCCAGATGACCACCAATGTCCTCACTTGTCCATAACTTCTTGCGATATTTTGCTTCTGAAGCTTCTGATGACGAACCAGTTTTGAAAATGCTGGTGGATGATTTGATCCCTTGCCTTTGTTTGTATGGTTAATAAATTTTATCAATCTAATATGTGCTTGTAAGCCCATTTTCTTCTGAAATTGAGCACGTCCAGTACGTCCTCACCGGGACATCTAGTCTTGAAATGAAAATGGGGCTTTGTCGATAAACCTTGATTCATTTCAAATTTTTGAGCTGTTGATCTGAGTGGCAAAAGGTGTCTTGTATATGAAAAGAAATCGATCAGAATATTCATTCGGTTATTTGAGTTCGACGAATATTTTTAAGAAACAATTGTTGTCCTTAGGTTGAATTTTACACGGCAATTTATTTCCCTTCATGACCAGTTGTCACTCTTGTTTTTTAATCCAGTCTGGATCAACCCTGAACTTGTCGATGTCCAAAGGCGACAAACTGGGATAAACTTCAACGGAGTCCAATAATTTCGGCTTCAAACAGTTTGCACACCTAAAATTGGAAGTACTCCAAAGTCCACAAAGATTCCTCGGTTATTTGGTAAAATAACAAGATATATCCATTAAAGGGTGGTATCTTATTAAATATTAAAGATGAAATGTTTAGCCAGAGTTATGGTTTGTGAGAAATGACAGTTATCTTGTCTACTCAACGGTTACCAGTATTTTACCATTAATAGATATATCAGTATATCTCTAAATCATTGCTTTATCCTTAAAGATCCCGAAGACTTTAATAATAGGTCGTGCGTATTAAAGGTCCCTCGACAGTTGCACGTCATGACAAAAATCTCGCCTTCTTCTACTACAATTATAAGCTCTGATATAACGCACTGCTTCATCCACCATCCGTTGCATCCCCCAGCCTTCAGGTTTCCCACATTCAGTTGCAGCTCTGAACTTCCGGTTTCCTACCGTCCGTTGTGAATTCAGCCCTTCCGGTTATCTATAATCCATTGCGAGTCAATCCTAACTGCTCTTCCTTTTGCCTCCATCAGTTTCAGCACTGCCCTTCCGGTTAACCACAATCAGGTACACCACTGTCCTCCCTTTTCCTTCCATCCCCTCCGTTCCAGTTTGCCTTCACCAAATTATCGTCTTTTCTCTTTCTTTAGCAAGAATTTGCTTTAATCAAGAAAATTTCGATCAGGTATTTTTGTGTTGAATTCACAAGCTGCACCAGTATCTTAAAACAGATATCTTTATATAAAAACAAACAGATTCAAATAGAATTTCACTACTTGTCACTACTTGAGGTGTGAGTGTATACCATACAAAGTGTAACACATATTTCTCTACAAGGTGAAATATAAGCAACCGAAGAAAATAATTCTGTGAAGAATGTGGTTTAGGAGAAAGCCGTCTTGATAAATGAACCTTATGGTGCGATCGAAGGTAACGGAATAGCTACATCGGAATTGTAGTTTGAATTCGACTTGGATGATTATTTTTTTCTTTCTTTTTTTGATTTTTTGAAACAAACTACCTGGAAAGATGCTCCAAAAATAGATTTCGGTACGGGTGGTAAAAGCCGTACCTTTAATTTTGAACTAAGACAACTGGAAACTGTCTGAGTATTCATCAGAGCATTTCAGTCCACAAATACAGACTGTCTTCGATAATAGAACCGAGTTTACTTTCACTTTATTTTGGTAAAGTTTTATATTTTGATAATCCAAAATGGCATCGAAATGGAAAGAATTAAAAACACATCCGAGTTTAGGAATCTCTCCGGCGATTTCGGTCGAAGAAAAGAAGTCAATGGTGGATGTTAAACAGTCTCTAAAGGAACCTTCAAAGAAACCACCGAGCTTTGTGAAAAAAATACTCGGAAAGGCAGGAAAAAGGCGAATTAATTCGGAAATGGAAAAAAACTTGGCCGAGTTCCATTCATCCTCGGCGGAACTGAAGAATGTCGGATGTGGAAAAAAATCCATTCGTTGGAAATTGAATTCGACAGAAATTACAGTTGATGAGTTCATCGGAAGTTCTGTAACTGAATCAACAGACGTGAGAAACAAACCAAAGACGTTGCCTGTGCGAGGAAATAACCAACGGGCGTCCCTGACCACAGTTGATGAAAACAAAGTATGGGAATCATGTTCACCGCGGAAGAGAAGAAAGGTCATTGTGGGCGATTCCAGTTATGTGACACCGGAGGCTTTTTTGGAGCTGCCCGTTAAAGGACCGGGTGGAACTCTTGGTGGACTGACTCCGACCAAGAAAGATGGCAGAATGGTCCCACTTCCTAAAGGGTTTGGTGCTAAATCAGATTTCCCACTGGTGCATACTTCTAAAGATGAAAACCTGCCACCAAGTGAACAAATTGCCGACGGATTAAAGAAAAAAGAGCAGCCGGATGGAACGTCAGCAGAGAGACCAGACCATCCCCGTGAGCATTCTCCGATTCAGAGAAACCCCGCCAAGCATAAAGGTGTGAAATGCTTTCAAATGAAGAGCTATCCCGCGAGACAAGTGATATATTATCAGCAGCGATTTATGGTTTTGGATACCATTCCGATTACAGCTTACTCACGGCAAAACACAACAGCAACCGTTCATGCTTCAAAACAGTCGTTTAAATGTTCTACTAATGTAGTACAAGCCTCGAACAATCATGACATAGATCGAATACAATCAAATCAATCTGTTTTAGGACTGGATGGTATCGATTCCATACAGCCAACATTGGTGGCAGATGTTGTCACGCGCTCGTCTGAAATCAAGAAAAAGCGCGTGGCTCAAAGAGTTTCAGCAGACGACAGTAATTTGGTGTCGAGTGAGATACCGAGCTCGAGCGGCGCATGCTGCGCTGTGACGACAGGTTCATGTTCTTCCAATATGGAAATGGACGCATCTTCTGTGACGATGGATGCACGTGCAATTGAGATCGTCGTGACGGATGAGGCCGATCGGAGTCGCAAGGTGAAAGGAGCTAATAAGGACTCAATTTGGAAGCGGATCTCTCGTGTTTTGATTGACAACCGGATGACGGGTCAGACAGACTGTGACAGGATTTTACGACCCCATCCGGAAGAGAATATTGTGCTAAAACGTATTTTAAACGTGGTATTTATTGTCATTGGGGTGTGCTTACTTGTTGCGGTATTCATCGTCATCATCTACACTGCGATAGGTAAGTTAAGGAGGGATTAATCTTGGACCACACGTGGTACTCGCTGCAGCCCTTCGTGGTCCACATCTTTAAGATATTGGCCAGTGTCTTGGCTCCGGGAGCTTCTCAAGATGCATGTAGCAATATTTTAGAAGCAAATATTATTTATGCTCTTCTACCTATTTCTTTTACCAATGTCCTTCTCTTCGACGCTAAAAAGATCATGTCACATTTTTCCCCAATTTAATCGCAACAAAAAAGTCGCCGTAAAAGACGCAAAAATGTGTCTTTGTGCAACAAATTGGTCTGTGACATCGATGACCCTAAACGTTTAACGAATACCAGTTCTTCATTTCACACCACCAAATTCGATACTAAGACATCTTTCTTCAAACCTGAGGCTAACTCTTTTTAAATGGTGGCATTGATTTCCGTTTCTTTCTTCGGTACAGGCCGTTCAGATTATATGTTTTAATTCCGGTCGCAAAGGCGTCGTAATGAGCTTTTAATAGACCGTATAATGGATACCAAGTCCACAGAGATTTAGGCAAGAATTCTTTTTGAGCATTTCAGTCTATATAGATAATGGCAAACATTCAATACCTTGACTTTATTAAGCCCCTTTCTTGTATCGGGGAAGTTTGTAAATGCTACAAAATCGTTGTATTCCGTGAAACAAGAAAAGTGCCAATGAAGTCAAGGTATAAGAAGCAGAAGGTAATAGCTTGCCAATGTGAAGATGCAGAACGTAAAAGCATGCCATTGTGAACATGCAAAACGTAATAGCTTGCCAATGTGAAGATGCAGAACGTAATAGCTTGCCACTGTGAAGATGCAGAACGTAATAGCTTGCCACTGTGAAGATGCAGAACGTAATAGCTTGCCACTGTGAAGATGCAGAACGTAATAGCTTGCCACTGTGAAGATGCAGAACGTAATAGCTTGCCATTGTGAAGATGCCAACCAACGTGCAACATAGATTCCTATATTTGGATGATCTCTCTTCCAATGATAATAAATCCTGATCCTACAACAAAACCGCTACAAGAAAAGTGTCTAATGAAGTAGCTTGACATTGTGAAGATTTAGATTCCTATTTGTGGACTAGATCTGTTCCAATATATAACGGTTCCTGGTCCTAGCAGGGAATCGGAAGATGATTAAACCAGTAATAGATAGACTGAACTATTAACTTTCAGAACGTAACAAGTGGAAATGAATCCGCTGTTTGAACCATTAGATTGTCTTCAGGAGGTCCTTGATAGCTCTAAATGATTGATATTTAACCACTAAGTGAAAATTGATAAATCTTGAAGCAATGAGATGCCGTGGGTTTCAATCTCACTGTCGGTATAGAACATTTAGATGCCTCTGGTACAGTTTTGATTTGACTTAAAGGGACAATAATTGAAAATGCCTCTTAACTTTTATTCATAATGTTTCAAAAAACTCTCAATTGAATGCCTTTATAAAGCGACAATGATGTTAACCATATTGAAAATGCCTCTCAACTGGTTTCACTATTCAGAATGCCTCTTTCACGGACACCACTTGGAAGTGGCAAAATGAAGCAAACGCCTCTATGAAGTAATTCAGTATGCCTGTGATGATGGGTACAACAATCCTTATTAGGATTACTTACACCAACTTACAATTATTATCAGTTTACCTTGTTCTGTTCCTTGGAATGGAACATTGACACCCATCTGGAAAAATGACCTTGACCTTAAAATGAAAGGTGTACACAATGTTGAGTATATGGTGTTATAAGAGATACTCTCCTGTAAAAGCACTGGCCTAGGTCACTGGTGGTGGGTGAAAATGCCCAGTTACCAGGTAAGTGAAGGCAATTCCCTCCAAACTATTAACAATAATTATTGTCCTGGCAAAATTGGGGGACAAAAGGAAAAGATAATAACTGGAGAAAACTGATTTCATTCTGCAACCTTTTTTGTCTGTACTAATGGAATGAATGAAACACTGTCCAGACAATTAATTTTGATTGACAATATTAAGGATTGAGACAAGGTAACAGTTGAAATGATAGACAGTTCCAAGCTTTAATGACAATATGGACTTGATGTCTGGCTCTATTATAGAACTTAATGTACTACAGTAGTCTATTTCAGGCTGGATATTAAAAAGACATCCAGTCTTATTTGCCTTCCTTTTAGAGACATTTTTTATAGGGCAAATGGATTTTCAAATTCGGCTTGTTTTTTTGTTATAAAAATCATAGAGATGTATCTATTTAAATTGGTTTTGACAAGAGGAAATTACACAAGAAATGCTTGAGAAGAGCTAGATACTTCTGTTTGTTTATCCTATTTGAAATATTTTGACATATTTGATTGACATGTTTTGACTTATTTAATGGACTTATTTTGAAGTATTTGATGGAGGTATTTTGACATATTTGATTGACATGTTTTGACATATTTGATTGACATGTTTTGACATATTCAATTCATAATAACAATGATATTAAAGTATATTTTTTTTAATTATAATGAATTTGGTAACAGTTCTTGTGTCAATGATATTCTTATGGACCCAAATGTACCCTCATGGCATTTGTGGACTGATAGACCCATTGCTCCACCTGCATGTAAGCCATTAAAGTGATTCCTGCAATTTCACTGAAACTAAGTATTTGAAGGGCCTAATCTTGCAATAGTGACCTCATCAAAAACTTAGTTTTATTGGAATTGCAGGAACCACAGACATCTGATAGAAAAGCTCAATGGAGTTTATGGATGCTTATCAAGTGTTAATATGACCTATGTAAGATATTGAAATAGTTGTGAAGTATGTTATTCCAAGTAAAGAATTGACTAATTAAATGAAGCATACAACAAACACTAAGTAAAGTGTAACAGCTTGTGTGGTATTTCACAATAACCAATGTATATTGTTGAAACATATTGGACCATATTGCTCTAGTGTATTAAAACTACCTTGAAGCCATCAATTTTGTAAGTTTGCCAAACAATGGATTGAAGTCCCCAGTAATGTAGCCTACACAAGTTTTGAGCATTCTTTGGAATCCCTGAGTTTAGTTCCCATAAATAGGCCTCTAAAAAAAAATTCAAGAAGTTGAGTGTTTACTTGGTGGGTTGACCAAACAATGGATTTATGAAGTCTGGTAGGCACAAAATTTAATTATTTTACTGTAACACATTTCTGATGGTTTGACCAGCTTGATTCTGGCTCTTGGCCGGATAACCATGAATTTAGCTGTGGCATTAGATGCAAGTTTAGAAAGTTTTTGACTCATGATTTTGTTTTATCTTTTCTTTTTAAAATGAAAACAAAGTTTGAATCTGTGATAAAATAACAGGGTCATAAACATGTTTATAGATTTCATATAAAAACTAATAAAGACTAAACAGGGCAGTTTTAATATCTAGTTTTATGTTGAATATTGATTACTAGTTATAGGCCTACTTATATTATATAAAACTCAAATATAGTCATATTTCATATATAGGCCTACAATTGTATACAAAATTAAAAACAGGATGGAAGGATGGATTGATGGTTGGATGGATGGGTAGGTGGATCTAGGAGAGGGAGAGGAGAGAGAGAGAGGTAGTGGTAGATGGATGGATTGAGGAGAAGAAGAGGGAGGGATGAAGGAGAATAGGAAGTGGTATGGATGGAGAAGAGGGGAGATGGATGGAATGAGAGAAAGGGAAGAAATGATGGTTGGATAGTTCAAATATAGTACATTTAATATAACATTTATAATAACTTATGATGGATGGATGAATGAATGAGAGATAGTTGAATAGACAGATGAATGAAGGAATGAAACGGATGAATGGATAACTATTAAATTTACATTAGATGAACTGCAATATTAATGATATAAAAAAAAACATTGTGAAATGAAATCATGATCAATTGAATGAATGGATGGATGAATGAATAAAAACAATAAAATGCTGGGAATGTAATGCAATATTGTTTCATTGAATTAATTCATCTATTCATCATTAATAGATACACCATTATTCATAAATTCATTGGTAACTATTAATGACTTACAGGACATTATCATTCTCTCCTCTTATGTATTATTAAAATCATTTAGATTGGTTACATTCATTTGTTCATTTGTTCATTCATTCATTCATTTGTTCATTTGTATTGAGCACTGGCATTAAGTGCATTTTAGATGGAGCAGATTAAAATATCGTGTACAACCCATGCATATTTTAAACAGATTTTATTCATTCATTTATTCATTCTATCATTCCTTTGTTCATTCATTCAATTGATAAATAGCACATCGAAGGCATTTTTTTATTTGTTCACTCACTCAGTTATTCACTCATTCCTTTGTTCAGAAAATAACATTAAAATTGTATGTATATGTGAAGTATATCTACCACAATGTTATATATAGGTACAATGTCTTTATAAAATAAAGAAAGAGAATTGCATGTTACTGTCTGTTATTGTGTAATTAATCACTTCTTTCTTTCTTTTTATTTCTTATTATCTAATTAACCAGAATATTACACTTACTCTTCATCTTTTAAATTAAACTCATGAAGGAGACAAGCCTTTTATTTCATTTCATTTCATTAGTCCAATTTGATAACTAGACCATATTCCATTATAATGCAAAAACTCCATTTCATTTCATTAGTTAAATTTGATAACTAGACCATATTCCATTATAATGCAAAAACTCCATTTCATTTCATTAGTTAAATTTTACATAGATGATAAGTGATTCCATTTCTTTTCATTAGTCCAATAAAGTACAAATCATTATTCAAAACTCCATTTCATTTCATTAGTTAAATTTGACAAAGATGATTGATAAATGATTCAATTTCATTAGTCCAATAAAAAAGGAAAAAGATATTGGTTGATGTAGGCCATTAAGATGTCAACGAGTAAAACTCATTTGATTTCTTTGAAATTGTCAAATTTGTTGTTGGCTGCTAAGTAATGTTTTCCTCCTATATATTTGGTAAAATTTGGAGAACTTTATCTGTTAATTTCTCACTTTTACCTGAAAGCACCCTAACCCTTTTTAAGTCTACATATTCCATTAAAAGATGTCAGTATACAGAAATCATCTATTAACCAAATTACCATCAGATATACATGAAATCAGAAATTCAAATTGGAAGGATTCCTTATTACTAGTGTATGTCTAATAATTGTATTGGTCTGATATGGTAATTATATAAGATGATTATGGAATCTTATTGACTTGGAAGACCTGAAAGCCATTAATTAATTTCATAAACCTGTCAAATATTGAATGGCTAATTTGAGAACATCATAATTTGAGAACATCATAATTTGAGAACATCATAATTTGAGAACATCATAATTTTTCATAATTCTTCTTTGAGAACATTATAATTTTGAGCTTGTCCAATTTGAAAACAATTTATTAATTTAAGATCATGCTTTTTTGAGAACATCATAATTTTAAACATGATGATTTTTTTACAATTTGAGAACATCATTATTTTGGCACAGTTTGTGCTCTCAAAGTTGTATCATTTACTTAAGTTTAATGTTGCCTTTTGATAGAATATAATGCCTTTCCAAAGCTTTTTATATTGAAGTCCTTTAACATTAATGAAGGAATGAAATGCCACTTAGCTTTGATAACATATTGTTATTGCCACGGTAATATTTATCTGGACAGTGAATTATCTCCCCTCCCCAGGGACAGATTGAAATAGAAAACAATTTCCCGTTTGCATTACACCACTAATCTGTTTGATTTATCTGCT